TATATTATATATTTTTTGATATATATATATATGTTTATATGCATATTTCTTTATCTATGTATATAGATAAATATACATTTACATTTAACCCTATATATATATATATATATATGTGTGTATACACGAACATGATCACTATACATACAGTTCTTATATCTTTATTTATCCAACCCTTGTTTCCTATATTCTTGTATATGATGTAGCGTTAAGATTCTCCTGTGTGGGCTCTCAAGTGTTGCCATTGTTGCTTTACATATAGTCCTGTAGGCAATTACCTTATTGGATCGTCTTGGGACAACAAGGTGCGGTGCTGGGAAGTCTCACCGCAGGGCCAAAGCAAAGTAATGGGCGATAAGGAACACACACAACCCGTTCTAGACACATGCTGGTCTCCGGATGGCGCGAAGGTCTTTAGCAGTGGCTGTGATAAAACGCTGATGCAATGGGATCTGGCGAGCAATACATTTCAGCAAGTGGGCGCTCACGACGCGCCGATCAAAACATGCCACTACGGTAAGTGTGTGTAAAGGAACACATTGTTGCATACGAAATATGCTACTATGGTGTGTGTGCGTAGGAAACACATACCGGCAGGCTTGCTGTGTATTCGTATCCAGGTATAGTCTTTCCTGTGTCTGGCGCACGTTTTCTTAGGGTAAGTTTGTCTCGTAAGCTTGGGAATATTGAGTGGTCATGTATTTGAACTGAATGTTTAGCATAGGGCTTTCTTGTCCCTAATGTACGAATTCGTACCGAACTCCTTAGCATCTTTGAACACGTCTTACATAGCCACAGGTGACTTGTCAATGCGTATATATAAATGAGGCTATATCGGCCATTGATTTCTGCATATCCTCAGAAGCAGTTAAATTTACTATAGATAATACACCTCCCTGAAGATTCACCAACATATGTTACTTTTGTCCGATTGGTTTCTGTAACTTCCCCCGTGTACGTTGAATTTCACTATAAATGATGCAACCCCTTGAAGACTCACCAACATATTTTACTTCTGTCATATTGATTTGTGTATCCTTCCCACGTGTACGTTGAATTGCATTGTAAATGATGTAACCCCCTGAAGACTCACCGACGTGTATCACTTCTGTCATTGGTTTGTGTATCCTTCCCACGTGTACGTTGAATTTCATTGTAAATGATGCAACCCCCTGAAGACTCACCGACATATATTACTTCTGTCATTGGTTTGTGTATCCTTCCCACGGGTAC